TGAGGGTGGTGAGGTATTGTACTGGAACCTCCAAAATAAATATAAAATGTTTTTTTTTCAGTAAAACATTATTTTATGTTATTTTTTCTGCTCTAACTCTATATGCAATGTATCAGTTTGATTGACCTTGTAAACACCATAAAAAAAGTTAAATCTAAATTACTTTTTTTTTTCTAGAATGACTGCAGATTGTAGCAGGAACCTACATTTGTTTATCCTTAATAGCTTAAGGCTCATAACAGTATATGTCTGTTTATACTTAATCTTATTGTTTTATTGCCTTTCAAACTGTGCCTAACTACTACTCGTACTACACATGGTTCACATTAATCAACTGAATGATGAAACACTTGAGCTTTGTGAGCATACCTCATGAAAAAGTATTATTATTTTTTTTATTACCTTACCTAACATAACCTTATTTAACCTAATAGGTTTGTAATTTTAACATTTTAGTTATTTTTATAACAATAAATGAAAAATATACATGCAAAACAAGAATTATAGTACTTATCACTGACCTGTTGTTCCTTTGCTGTCAGGTGCCATTGACAATTAAGTTTACTTACCATTGACAATTAAGTTTACTTGCCATTGACACTTAAGTTTACTTTTTCTTTTTTATACTGAGGAGGCTACTACACTAAATAATTTTATGAGTTAGGGTAGAGAAAATAACAGATAAAAATATAAAGTTTTACTGAAAAAAGTTAGTTTTTAGGGAGTATGCAAATGAAATTTGAGATTGTTGAGATAATCTTAATGTGGAAATTACTTTACACTCTGACTAGTAAAGAAAAACAATAAAAATTTAAAGACAAATCTTTAGGAAAAATACTTGATTAGAAAATCAGAATTTTTTGTACAAAAGACTTGTAATGTTTAGTAAAAGTTATTAAACTATAACAAGCTCAAAATGGTTACAATGTTGGTCGATCTGACCAACTTCAAAGCGAGAGAGTTAACTGGCATAAGAACCATAAAATATTTTCCTAAGCTTGTTGATCTGAAAACCATGAGAGAAACTTTCAAACTGACGACAAAATAAACAATACTGTGTACTGAAAACAATGTAATATATCATTTGCTAGATTAAAACTTTCCCTTTCTATTCATTATAAATTATATAGAATAAAACATCAGTGAGAACTATTGGCAGTTTGACTTTCTAGTTTATGTTTCTGTAAACAAAGAAGATGGAAGGCTGTAAAAATTAAACTTTGCTTTAGTTATATCTATGTTATAATGAGTAATTTATGATAAACTCAATAATTCAGACAGTGGTGGAAATAAATTAGAGAATGGTCAAGATCTAATGAACAAATGTCATGATTCTCATACAAGGAGCATTTGAGGATATATTTAAATATTTCCTTTTAAAATTAAGAAATCAAAACTTATATAACTTTAAAATTTGAGTTATTAACAATATTTTGTTGCCATGATTATTCTTATATGTTTATAATAATAGTTAAATTAAATTTCAAATGTAATTCTGTAAAAAGTTGTGACATACGCACTTTAACCTACCCATAGCGAGAGGGTTAACCCTGTAACTACCAGCTACTAAGATTCTTAGTAGATGACATTGCTCTTGTCATATTTGTCATTCCTAAAATAAAATTAGTAGATGAAATTGTTTGAAATATGACAATAACTTTCTTAAAGTATGTAGTTTAAAAAACAAAAACAAAAAACATTTAATTTGTTTGTTTTTTATTATTTCTAATAAAAATTAGTTATTTAATATAGTTATTTGCACTTGGACTCTGAATAGTTCACCTGCAAGGTGATTTTTCATGTTGAGTATAAAAATACTAATTATTATCTTACAATTTTCAAAGTTCATTTGCATAATCTCTAGAAACATCTCAAATGAATATCAAGTTGTTTTTTAAGGTAAATGTTATCCTTTATTTTCCATTTTCTCTACAACATCATTAACTCTAGCTATTATCATTAAGATACAATGCAATGAAATGTTTAAAATATCTTCTTAGGGTCATATGCGTAATTTCATGTCTTTATATTTTCACTAATAGTTTAATTTTAATGTTTTATTTTCTTTTTCTGTTCTTTATCTTTGATTATTTACATCAACACACACACCAACATGTGCCCTTAGGCGATATAACATTAACTTCAGCAGAGAAGGTTTAGCCTCGAACAAGATATAGTTTGCACCCTACTTGTTACGAAAGACATTTTCAATGATGCAAAGAGTAGAATAATATTAACAAAAACATTAAACCTTTCAAATATGAGTTTTGAAAACACAAATAATACATAATGAATTAAAATGTAAAAGTAAAACCTAAATGCAATTTAACTGTCTGTCAAACTAATAAGCATTTACTTAGTCCATCCTGTGTCTCATGACACATTGGACCATCCATTGATGATACTTTCTTCTTTCCAGCACAATCTTCTCCATTTTTGATGATATTTTACTAGGGCAATAAAAAATAGCCAAGTGCAAGGGACAGTATCTAAACAACAGACGTATTGATAGTTTGACATCCATTCTAAAGTGCATATATCACTGAACATTTCTGGCCTCATTAAACCAAATAGCATGAAATCTGCACTTTTTATTGGTTGTAAGCATGCCATTAGAGTTAAAACTGTCACTTAGCAACACAGCTTCTACTCTACAAGTGGGTGTGGGTTATCTTAAACTTAGGAACTTTTACAACCGTTTCCTAAGGGACAAATTATTAGAATGTATTTCAGTTACTGATAAAGAACCTCTATATGGTGTACCTTGAATGTCTGAAATGAAGAAATTGTCTACATTACACACATAGTTTCTTCTATACCAGATCTTAAAGTTGAGAAATTGTAACTGCGAGCAGGTCAGGTGACAGCAAAAACTGGAGGTTTTAATTGTTTAGATGTTTCTTTTGAAATAAAGGAATGAAAACTTTAAATTATAATGTACTTGATAATAACAATTTGATTAAATAAAAAGACGTTGATAGTAAAGTGGTTTAATTAAATTTTGAATGCAATGCAGTAACATATGTAGAAAGGAATTTTAAAAAGGGTAAAGGGTTAAATTAAAGCATGAAATAACTCAAGCAAAAACTTTTACTACCTTATTAATTTTACTGCTTTTTTTCAGAATTACCCTAAATAAAATTTACCTTCATTCCATTCTTGTTTTTGCACATCCTTTTCTGTTTTTTTGTCCTCTTTATACTCTACTAAAAAGGATTTAATTGGCAGTCCACCATCTTCTATGGGATGAACAAAACTAAAAGTTATTGTAGTTGCTGTTATTTTCTCAAACTTTATTTGCTGCAGAGGTCCAGGGGCATCTAAAAAAACAAAAGAAAAGAAAATTAAAACTTTATAAAGAAACACTTTTTAATACAAACAGGGAATAAAAAGTCTTTTAAATATTAAGATTTGAGAAAAATGTGTAGTTAAAAACTATGACACTTTAAAATGCTTTTCAAGGTATCTGTTTGTATAATTATATTTTTGGATTCAACATATCTATATTGTAGTTTTAGTTTACCATGATCACACTTAGGATTAATAGTACTTGCCTAATTATACTTACAACTGTGGGTGGTATCAGCATTTTTTAATCATACTTATAATTTCAGGGGCTCATGTTTTGTTTAATATTGAGTTTTATGATCAGGTTTGTATAGTATAAGAAACTGATTTTTAAAGATATCCAAAACACATTCTCTCTTTCATCCAATTGCATTGTCTTAGAATAAAAATGACCAAAAAGAAATTTTGCAGACAATGAGAACTTGTGTTTATTTAACAATGTATTTTTGTATATGCACATAAAAATCAATAAAACTAAAATGATACAATCTGTTAAGCCTAATAAATAAGACGAAAATCACTTGATAGCACAAATTTACCACATTCATATCTACTCAAAAAATGTTTTAACCATAACTGTGAGGCCTAACAAGTTTCACTGTTTACAACCTACCAATATTTACTTAAATACAAAGCAATAATAATGTTATTTTCAAAGTTACACAGATCACAATCTCGGTCAACATATTTATGATTGATGTGTTTGAAACCTTTTGGAAATGGTAATGATTTTGATAACACCTGCATGAATTGTATAAATAAAGCCATAAAGATAACTCACCATAATATAACATATCATAATGTTTTGGGACTACATGGACCTATTGATTCATCTTGGATGTCCCATCCTCTAAACTAAACTAAAGCTATTAATATATATAAAAAATTTTAGAGCCAGCCCTTATCATTCATATACTGATCAAGCTTTCTCTTAAACTCACTTAAATTTACTGCCTCCACAACATCCGAAGGCAATCCATTTCAAATGCCAAAAACCTGTTAGAAAAATAAAACGGTTTTAGGTGAAGATGACCCCTCTCCTGCCAAAATCTATATTTGTGTCCCACAGTCCTACTATTCACACCATTAAGTATGAAAAAAAAAAGATGCATCAACACTGTCAATTCCCTTTACAACCTTAAACACTTCAATCAGATCCCCTCTAACTCTTCTTTTTTCAAGAGAAAAAAAGGTGAGAGATTTCAACCTCTCCTCATATGACAACCCTTCCATCCCAGACACCATTCTAGTAACCTTCCTCTGAACCCTTTCCAACAATTCAATGTCCTTCCTAAGGGAAGGAGCCCAAGACTGAACATAATACTCCATATGTGGGCTAACCTATGCAATGAAATTATAACTTCTTTAGACTTGTATTCAATATTTCTGTAGATAAAACTTAAAATCCTATTTGCCCTACCACTAACAATAGCACACTGCTTGGATGGCTTAAGAGACAGATCAACTATTACAGCATATGGAAGAGCAAGCATCACAGGAAGAGACTGAGAATCACTTGTTGAGTTGAAGCTCTCCCAGGAGGTGTGGGCTGCTAATCCTTGAGATCATCCAGAGTCTCAAGATAGAGTGGAGCTGGACAATAATATTCTAGCTAAAGCAAAACATTGTCTCACAAATCATGAGCAAGAATCTCATGTCTTGTTGAAATTTATAGTCTCCAGGTACAGAGAAGAACTAATGCCTTAGATAATGTTGGTGCCACACCTCTTTGCAGGCTGAAAAACTAACCACAGGCCCTGTATAAACTACACTATCAAAGTCTGGTGTTAGTAATATGAAATTGATCCAACCATCAATTCTCAAATGTGCTTCTCAAGAAGATCTGGATGGACTGCTTAAATAATTCAGGCAAATTGTTCTATGGAAAATAGGGACTTGGAAGCAATCTACCCAGCATTTACTTTCAAGTTTGGATGGTTATTCAGCACTTGAAATTGTTAAGCACTTTGATCTAGATGAACTTTGTTATCAGGACATAATCAATGCAGAATTGGATCATCTATGCAATACATTACAAAAGAGTAATCTATGCTGAATTCAGAGCTGGAAAGTGCTGTCCTCAAGAAAAATTGGCAGCACACAGAGATGAACAGCATCATCTGTGTGAGAAAGTGCCTCAGAATGACAGTTGCAGATCATGAAGACACTTTTTCTCACAAGTTTACAGAAGGCTAGTTACACAAGAAGGTGCAACACCATATTGTATCTGAATGAAGCCATTTTTGTGACAACATGGTTTAGTGATATTATCAAATAAGTTGCTTGAGAACAGAAAACTGGCAGCTACATCTACCTGAATGTGTTTCTGAGATGTCAGCATCTTGTAAGGCATTAAAATAACCCAATTCTCACTGCTTTAAATATCATCAGGTATTACAGTGCCACTGGTTACCAGTAATAAACAGAAATTTTCAGAACCTGTTATAATGGTTGAATCACCACCATCATGGCAGAAATATATCTCCACAGAACATGAATTATGGGGCATTTACTTCAATTATGAAATGGAGAAAACACTATCTATATCTTGTTGTGAGATAGACAAGACAGCAGTTTTTTTGTAGCCAACTACTAGGCAACAGCAGAATAACACGAGTTAAATACTGCAGCTCTCTCCAGGTCAATCTTGGCTACTGATATGGAGAGCATAATAGTTTGTTTTGTTCCTGAGGTGTGGTGATCAATTTAGTTGTGAAAATACACAAGCATGAGGTTGAGCTTCTGGTGGACACAGTACAGAGAAACTATCATGACTATGATTGAACTTGTTGATATAGAGTTCTTTCTGGTTCAAAAGAGATGCGTTCAAGGTAAGTAAGTAACTGGAATTCTATCTTGTCATCAGTGTTATGTGTTGAAGAACAAAGGCTGTTGTTTCTGACTTAGGTTTAAGTATTAAAATCTAATGGATGACCAAATGAAGTTATCAGCCAGCATAGCATGTGGTATTGGTGAATCCAATGTTGGTAAAACACAATTCATGAAAGGTGAATTGCATGAGCTTGTGTAAAGAAGAAAGTCATGATTCCTTCTAACGCACAAGTAATGTTTCCCAGATTTATGTAAATTCTGTCCCAGGTGATGGATCAGCAGAGATGAAACTTGTTAATAAAACACACTGTTTTCCATATAGACACATAGCTCTGCTTGCTCTGACAATTAGCTCTCTCAATTAAAGATATATTCCAGTGATAGAATAACTAGTTTGTAATTGTAGACAATTAGCTCTTAAATTACCAGCTACAGTGATTATCAACAGTGTGTATGAAGGAAAAAAAACTAAAACTAGCTGTATCTCAGATGTTATTTCACCTGCATCTTTTATGAAAAGTAATGGTTACCACAACACCTGAGGTTGTTGGTTGAAAACAGTCTTAAAGCAGAGCTCCAACAAAAATTCAGTAAGTTGCAGGTAGACATTCTTTATGTGCTTCTCAGACCACACAGAATAATTTAACTTATCACTTCACACACAGTTGATGCACATTCAATAAAGCACTCACCATATAATCTTCCTTGGAACATTAGAAATGATGCCAGTATTAAAAAAGAAGAAAAGAGGATTTTGAAGGTCAGAACAATACAATCATCAGACAGTGCTTGATAACAAAAATAAATAATATGAAGAAGAAAAAGAAAGAAATGTCAAAAGTTCTGTGGTGATTTTAGGAAGGTGACAAGTAATGTGGCTCATTGGATTTCCTTAGCTACACAAAAATAAATGTCTGGATGCTTTGAAAAGAGCTAAATATAGAGGTTTTGTTTGTTATATTAAAACAATTTTGGAACTTCGACATGCCGTTACAGCCTATATTGCTATGTTTAATTATGCTATATCTGATGACCATGTGTTAGATATACATGACCATTTCCATTTAATGCAAAAGTTATGACTGAGACAGTTATGTAAAGCATGAGTTAAATTTACAATGTATACTGGAGATATTTTTACCCATTCCTGCTTGCAGATGTCCTCCAGTTCTTGTAAGTTTGAAGAATGTCTTCGATGCAAAGCAATTTTCTAGTCTCTCCACAGATTTTCGAGTGGATTTAAGTATGGGCTTTGGTTTGACCAGTGAAGGACTATAATTTTGTTTCTCTGAAACCATTCTTGGATTTCCTTTCATCTGTGTTTGGGATCATTGTCCTGTTGAAATGTAAACCTTTGACAGAGTTTCAGTTTTTCAGCTGACTTCTTCAAATTCATCTCCAACATCTGTGTATATTTTGCACTGTCCATGATCCCTTGTATGCATATAAGTTCTCCAGTACCAGCTGCAGAAAAACATCCCCACAGCATTATTGACCCACCACCATGCTTGACAATTGGAACTGTAATTGCTGGGTCATGAGCAGTGTTGGGTTTCTGCCATACATATCATATGTCATTTAACCCAAAAAGTTCTATTTTAGTCTCATCTGATCATAGAACTTTCTGCCACATTGTTGTTGAGCTTAGTTCATTTGCAGTTAAGATGCATTTTTGTCAGTAGTGGTTTCTTTCTTGCCACCCTACAATACAAGCCTTTTTTGTGTAAGGTACGTGGTATTGTTGAGGAGTGTACAATAACTCCAGTTGCTGCCACTGAAGTCTGCAGTTCCTTCCATGTTACGATTGGCTTCCCTGACGATGTTTCTGCTTGTTCGAGTGCAGACTTTCTTAGGGCGACCTGATCTTGGCAAAGTTGAGATAGTGTGACACAGTTTCCATTTGTTCAAAAACAATTTTACAGTACTTAATGGCAAATTGAGAACCTTTGAAATTGATTTATAGCCTTCTCCAGAATTGTGCTTATTTTTGTTTAAAAAATTAAAAACAAACAACTGTTCTGTGTTTTAAGAGAAGTAAGTGAAAGTTAAAGATATATTTATAAAACTACCAGCAAGTTTTAGAACTTCAGAGTCCCCACACTTTGACAATTAACACTTCAATCAGATAGAACAATTTATT